GGGGGGGTGGGCGGGAATCTGCTCTTAAAGTTTGTGAAACGCAGCTGTCTTGAAGAGTTAGTGGGTGTTTCTTCCCTGTCTCAAAACTTGAGGTTCTTCAGTGATCAATAAACACATTGCGATGGCCAGACCAGCCGTGGAATGCGGGGAGGAGAAATCCGATTCCCAGTCGCTGTCCTGTAACAACATTCCAAACGTGCGCCCAGAGAGGGGGGACTGTGGGTCCGTCAGCGTTTTCTTTTTATTTCAAGAGCCTTCATTAGTCTCAGTCCAGGTTTGGAACTGGACTTCTCTCTTTTTTCTTGAAGTGGGGAAGAGCCAGAAGACTTTTTCAGTGATGTTTCCCACGCTGCTCACTAACTCCTTCTGGGCTGGCTCAAGCTTACACCTCCGTCCGGCTCTTTGGGTGGAGAGGCAGCGAGTGATGTCAGGCTTTCTCCTCAAACTTTGTTCTGTTCTCTTTCTCTATTTATATCCTGTCATAGCTGTGTCCTTCCTGGGTCCTAACACCGTCTGTTAAGAACAATTGGAAATATTTTCAGGATCTCAGGTGCAGAGGCAGACCAAACAGGGTGTGTGTGTGTGTAGATGTATATATGACAGGTGCCTCTAGGCAGCACCCTTAAAGTCAGCACAAATATTAATAAGTACAAAATGTAAAATGAACCATAAACTCTATTTAGATCTGAGTCTTACCTGCCAAAGGAAGAAATAAGGTGATATGCGAATGGTAAAGGAAAGTAAACACACTCACTGTGCCCTCTGCGTTCAGTGTTGACCACGCTTTTCTCTTTAACCCTTTCAGAAGTCAGTAAAAGCTATAGAATTATTAGCAAGATACACTGTGTAACTGCACCATACCACATACCCCCACAGCACCCAGGATAGCTTTCTTAATGTGATAACAGTCAGGCCCTCAGCCAACCTTGCCTCAGTTTACCCAAGACCAAAAATTTATCCAATCTACTCACACACACACACACACACACACACACACACACGATTTTGTAATGACAGCTATATTTGCATGTGAGTTAACTAATACTTACCTCTCTGTACCCTCTCCAACACTCACTAGCTGTGCTCTTAGGTAAATCACTTCATCTCTCTCTGTTTCAAATTCCTCATCTGCAAAGTGGAGGTAAAAGTTCTACTCCACGAGGTTGTAACGGGAAATGAGATGATGCAAACAAGGATCTTAAAGCAGGGCTTGGAAAATATGTAGCACTCAATAAATGTTGCTTTTTTTATTAAGAAAGAATATCACTCCATAAATGTTAGCTGTGATTATAATTATAAAGTAGAAAATAACACCCAATAAATGTTAGCAGATATTATTATCTCAATTGTCCTGACTTTAAATGGGAATTAAGAGTCCTGAATCCAACAGACTTCCTAAAGAGGATAAGAAAATGACCTCCAGCCTCCACGGGGAAGAAAATAACAAAGTGATGTCAAAGCATAAGGTGATTATTTTTAACTTGTGCCTGCAGCCCACAACCTGTCAGATCATCCGATATCCTGAATCCCCCTCGGGGCTGGCTCCACAGAGTTTCTATGAAAGTTTTTCTCTCTCCTAGCTGAGCTCCCATCGTGGGGCCCTTTGTAATAATGACCTTTACCATGTTGCCTAGGTGTGATTCCTGTCAGGGAAGAACTGACTTACAACCTCTATCTTTGCATTTCATCAATTTTCTCGTCTCCTGCTGCTCTCTCTGGAAGAACTTGAAAGGAGGGATGAGACTTTGCAGATTTTTCTCAGCCTCAGTTTTAACTTAAGAACAGTTAACAGATTGCTGAATATATGGATCTTTTTCATTTCCAGGACTGAACGTGGTTTTCTTAATCATAAAATTGTCATCAGATAACTGCAGATTTTTCTCAGCCTCAGTTTTAACTTAAGAACAGTTAACAGATTGCTGAATATATGGGTCTTTTACATTTCCAGGACTGAACGTGGTTTTCTTAATCATAAAATTGTCATCAGATAACAGGAGTTGCCTCAATTCAACAGCACTAATAAAAAGTCGATATAAAACAAATCAAGCAGACCCTGCCCTCCAGGTGTCTACACTCCCCCAGGGATTCACTTGTAATCTCAACCCCAGACAGCAGGTTTGTGCTAATTCACATTGTTTCCCTTCTCAGTGCTCCTGTCCAGAGGTTGAGATAAGAGCCCACCTTCGTTTAAAGCAGCGTGTCCTAAAGGGCGGAAATTTTGGAGATGATGTGGGACAGTGCATGGACCCAGGATCATGTACTTTGGATCCCTTCGAGAGCCTCTCCTGTCACCTTCTGGTCATTCCCAAATGTCATTTTGACAGTGGGCTTTCCTCTCCAGAGCCTCTCCTGCTGTATTGTTCCCAATGCCACTAGTCACTCTGTGACATACTTTACACCTTAAACATTCATGGTATTTGTTGTCGACCTCTTCCCACTGAGAGATACACCCCATGAGAGCATGTTTTTCTGCTTGTTCGCTCTGTACCCCTAACCCCCAGAACAGGGCTTGGTACTTAGCAGGTATTCAACACCCAATATTAAAACAATGTTTTTTGAATGAGTGCTTGTGTGCTTAACTTAAGAAATGGAAAAAACTGTTATGCTTTGGTCAAATATATCACATTTGTATTGAGTGGGTGCTAAGTATATATCAAATAGGACTGTAAATTCTGCTTAAGCTCTGCTCAATAAATTTTTACAGGGATGCTGCGAAGTGAGAAGCCGGCTGACCATGGGATGTAACTGGATCCTTCACACGGCTGATGGCCTGTGCACAGCTGAACACATCCCAGGAAGATAGCCTGGGACCACAGGAGGAATTCTGTGGAGTGGCCCCAATGCTGAAGAGAGTTGTCCACGCTCCGAGGACAGGAGCTCTTGGTGCCTGATTCACATGCACCTGCCTCCAGCCGCAATCCTTCCACTAACCCTCATACTTGTAAGAAGCAGCAGGAGTTGTGTGCCCATCACACTTATTTCTGTGTAGACAAACAAAGCAGAGCAAAGATTCCTAGGTGGTGTGCTAAGAAGGACACACAGCACACAGGTACTGCAGAAATTAACGAGTCAGAGAGCTCAGGGGATGAACTCACTGAGGAAGTGAAGTGAAGGAGTTAAGGAATTCTTTCTCATACTGGGTAAGAGAAGAGCATTCTGGAAAGAAGCTATGGAATGGGCTAAAGCTCTGGACACAGCATGGATCATGGATATCTGTTGTTTCTGCCGGCCCAGCCTCCCTTCCCCCTCCTGCTGGATTTTCCTTTGGAGAACTCTTCCTTCACCCACTCAGGAACCTACCCTGGGACGTCAGGTAAGGCGGTGGGCTCATGACCCAATGGGAATGTCCACAGCCCCTTTACACATGACCACTGTGACTCGTCCAAAGGTGTGCCTGTGGCTTACTCAGGACCTGTCAGGTCTTCCCTGGGATTAATAGGTTGACCCTAAGAAAGAGAAGCCTCCCCCGCTCCACTGGAGTTGCCAGCCCAGCATGATCTTAAATTAAGACTGTTGATGCCCATTTTTCTCACTACAAAGAATTGAATTAACTACAGTAGAAAATAATAGGCAAACACAGAAGTTCCAGCATTCTAACCGTGGGAGAGGTGGCAAGAGAGAACTTGATGATATCAACTTGGCCCCTGGATCCTACTATACCTAAAGCAGAAACCAATAAATTCATATTTTGGCTCAAGTAAGTGTGAGCTTGATTTCTGTCATCTGCAACCACAAGCCCTGGTCGATGCAGCACCTGTGAGGAAGCACAGGTGATGTGGTATTTAATGAAGAGAAGGCACAACTGAGAGAAGGGTCAGGGGCTGAGGCTGGAGAGAAGGACCTGGCACTGCACGCCTCCCGCTCACCTCTTTAGAGCTTCTCAGCCTCATTGCTTATTCTAGCAGCAGTCGGGATGGTAAGCTCCACACTGGCTCCACCAGCTTCTCTC